CCTCTCTTCACTTGGGTGTCCAAAACATACTGCCGCAGGTCAGATGATACGACTACAAAGTCTATCATCGACCTGCGACCTAGGCTGCCCTGGTACCAAGTGTACCAATGGGCATCCTTAAGTTCGAACATGGTGTTCGTTATGGCCAAACTGCAGCTTACACAGAAGTCCTATAACGAAACACCACTCGAGTTCAGATCAGGCGGGCCGTTCCTCCCAATCACACCCCTCCAGGTCATGCTGTCAATGCCCACGTGAGCATTGAAGTCCCCCAGCAGGACAATGGAGTCCCCTGATGGAGCACTATCTAGCACTCATCCCAGGGACTCCAAAAAGGGTGGGTACTCTGAACTGATATTTGGCCCATAAGCACAAACAACAGTCAGTACCCATTCCCCGACCCAAAGGCGCAGAGAAGCTACCCTCTCATCCCCCGGGGAAAACCCCAACACACAGGCAGGGAGCCTTGGGGCTAAAAAAAAGCCAACCCCAGCCCTTCGCCTCTCACCCGGAGCAACTCCAGCAAAGGAGAGTGTCCAACCCCTCTCAAGGACTTGGTTTCCAGAGCCAATGCCATGTGTCGAGGAGAGTCCGACTATATCTAGCCGGCAATGCTCAACCTCTGCCGCCAGCTCCTGCTTCTTCCCCACCAGCGAGGTGATGTTCCATGTCCCAAAAACCAGTTTCCTTGTCCGGGGATTGGACCGCCAAGGCTCCCGCCTAGGTCTGCCACCCGATCCACACTGCACCGGACCCTTCATGTTCCTCCTGCAGGTGGTGGGTCCACAGTTGGATGAGCCCATGTATCTGGTCCGGGCTGGGCCCGGCCGGGCCCCATGGGTGAAAGCCTGGCCACCAGGCGCTCGCTCACGGGCCCCAACCCCAGGCCTGGCTCCAGGGTGGGACCCCGGTAACCCTCCGGGCCGGGTACTCAGACTCTTTGATTGTACATCCATGAAAGATCCTCTGAACCATTCTTTGTCTCACCCTTCACCTAAGACCAACTTGTCATGGGAGACCCGGACAGCATGGCTCCTAGGATCATAAGGGCACTCAAACTCCTCCACCGCGATAAGGTGACGGTTCAAGGAGGAGATTCTGTTCTATTGCTGGCCCCGACGATAACCCTCAATGCACAATTCCTTTAGCCTATAGCAAGTCATCATGTGTGAATATGTCTGGGCACAATCTACTGACGGCTCCGTTGTGGGACAACTACAGTTGTCTTTCAAACTGTCTCTGCGTGCTATTGGACAACGAGCAACATGACATGCTCTCTGCTACAGACGTCAGTCAACTGGGCAGTCTGCCATACATTGTTGAAGACTGAAATAAATAGTTTCCGTCCATTCATCCATCCATTTTCATCTGCTTATCCGGAGGCGGGTCGCAGGGGCAGTAGCCTAAAGCGAGAGGCCCAGACTTCCCTCTCCCCAGCCACTTGGGCCCAGCTCCTCCGGGGGAATCCCAAGGCATTCCCTGGCCAGGTGAGGGACATAGTCCCTCCACAATGTCCTGGGTCTACCTTTAGGTCTCCTCCCAGTTGGACGTGCCCGGAAAACCTCACCAGGGAGGCGTCCAGAAGGCATCCTGACCAGATGCCCGAGCCACCTCAACTGGCTCCCCCCGATGTGGAGGAGCAGCGGGTTTACTCCGAGCCCCTCCCGGATGACCGAGCTTCTCACCCTATCTCTACGGGAGAGCCCAGCCACACTTCAGAGAAAACTCATTTCGGCAGCTTGTATCTGCAATTTCGTTCTTTCGGTCACTACCCAAAGCTCGTGACCATAGGTGAGGGTAGGAACGTAGATAAACCGGTAAATCGAGAGCTTCGCCTTCTGGCTCAGCTCTCTCTTCACCATGACAGACCGGTACAATGCCCACATCACTGCAGACGCAGCACCAATCCGCCTATCGATCTCACGCTCCAGTTTTCCCTCACTCGTGAACAAGACCCCGAGATACTTAAACTTCTCCACTTGGGGCAGGACCTCATCCCTGACCCGGAGAAGTCATTCTACCCTTTTTCCAAATCAAGACCATGGTCTGAGATTTAGAGGAGCTGATTCTCATCCCACCTGCTTCACACTCGGCTGCAAACTGCTCCAGCGAAAGCTGAAGATCACGTTCTGATGAAGCCAACAGGACCACATCATCTGCAAAAAGCAGATACTTGATCCTCAGGCCACCAAAACGGATGCCCTCCACACCTTGGCTGTGCCTAGAAATCCTGTCCATAAAGGTTATGAACAGAATTGTTGACAAAGGGCAGCCTTGGTGGAGTCCAACTCTCACTGGGAACGAGCCTGACTTACTGCCGGCAATGTGAACCAAGCTCTGACACCGGTCATACAGGGACCTAACAGCCCATATCAGAGGCCCCATATCAGAGGGGGGCCCTGTGGAGGTACTCCCCGAGTACCCCCCCCCCCCCACACACACACACACACACACAGGGCCCCCCGAGGTTCGCGGTCAAATGCCTTCTCCAAATCCATGAAACACATGTAGACTGGTTGGGCAAATTCCCTCGCACCCTCCAGAATCCCCCTAAGGGTATAGAGCTGGTCCAGTGTTCCACGACCAGGACAAAAACCCCATTGCTCCTCCTGAATCTGAGGTTCATCAATCCAATGGACCCTCCTCTCCAGAACCCCTGAATAGACCTTACCAGGAAGGCTCAGGAGTGTGATGTCCCTGTAGTTGGAACACACCCTGCGGTCCCCTTTTTTAAATAAGGGGATCACCACCCCGGTCTGCCAGTCTAGTGGGACTGCCCCCGATGTCCACGCGATATTGCAGAGCCGCGTCAGCCAACACAGCCCCACAACCATCCAGAGCCTTAAGGAACTCCGGGCACATCTCACCCACCCCCGAAACCTTGCCACAGAGAAGCTTTTTAATCACCTCAGTGACCTCAGCACGAGAGATTTGAGAGGCCAACTCAAAGTCTCCAGACTCTTCTTCCTCACTGGAAGACGTGTCGGTTGGATTGAGGAGGTCTTCGAAGTATTCTGCCCACAGATCCACAACATCCTGAGTAAAGGTCAGCAGCACACCGTCCCCAATATAGATAGTGTTGGTAGCGCATTGCTCCCCCCCCCCCCCCCCCCCGACCTAAGGTATCCTGGTGCCAAGAGCACATATGGACACCTTTATGTCTGAACATGGTGTTCATTATGGACAATCCATGATTGGCACAGAAGTCCAATAACAAAACACCACTCGAATTCAGATCAGGGGGGCCGTTCCTCCCAACCACACCTCTCCAGGTCTCACTGTCGTTGCCCAAGTGAGCGTTAAAGTCCCCCAGCAGAATGAGGGAGTCACCGGAAGGAGCACTCTCCAGCACCCCCTCCAAGGTCTCCAAAAAGGGTGGGTAGTCTGAACTGTAGTTTGGTGCATAAGCACAGACCACAGTCAGAACCCGTCCCCCCACACGTAGGCGGAAGGAGGCTACCCTCTCATTCACTGGGTAAACCCCAACGTACAGGCACCAAGATGGGGGGCAACTAGTACCCACCCCTGCTCTGCGCCTCTCAGTGGGAGCAACTCCAGAGTGGTATAGTCCAACCCCTCTCAAGGAAACTGGTTCCAGAGCCAGAGCCATGCATTGAGGTGAGTCCGACCATATCTAGTCGGAACCTTTCAACCTCACACAACAACTCAGGCTCCTTCCCCACCAGAGAGGTGACATTCCATGTGCCAAGAGCCAGCTTCTGTAGCCAAGGATCAGTCTGCCAAGGTCCCCGCCCTCGACTACCACCCATCACACACTGCACCTGACCCCTTTGGCCCCTCCCACGAGTGGTGAGCCCATGGGAAGGGGGACCCACATTTCCTCTTCGGGCTGTGCCCGACCGGGCTCCATGGGTGAAAGCCCGGCCACCAGGCACTCGCCAACATGCCCCACCTCCAGGCCTGGCTCCAGAGGGATTCCCGGTGACCCACGTCCAGGTGAGGGAACACGGTTTCCATTTATATAATTCATCATAAATAGTTTTTCTAAATAATCATAAGTAACTTTATCTGCTCTTGACTCAAAGAAAAGTCCAAGTCTAAAGAGTCCAAAGTTGATGCCAAAGCTGTTTCAAATGAGCCGTTGCCATCTTAGTTTCGCTCAGTCACAGTAACATCCTGCCCTCCAAACTGATAGAGGGCTGTGATTAGCCCAACAAATAGAGCGCTGTGATTTGCCAGGCATCAGAGCATCCGGGGCTGCAGACGATCCAATAGAGGTGGCTAGATAACATGCAGAGCAAAAATATATTTGCTTCAGCAACTGACAGTATACGTTTCTAGGCTACAATTCCTCACCTGTTCATGTTGACCAAAAGCTAATTCTCTGAACTGAGGCTGATTGAAAAGCTTCCCTCCAAAAGTTTATTATTATTATTATTATTAATATTATTATTATTATTATTATTATTATTATTATTATTATTATTATTATTATTATTATTATTATTATTATTATTATTATATTTTTTGCATTATGATTTTGTCACAGAAAACTTTGCTTCTTTTGCAGAAGGTTTCTCTGAATCGGGGTCCTGTTGGTGTAAATCAGGTGGCGCACTGTTGACTCTGGGAGGGAAGCATGTGAAAAATGCGCCGCAGCCACGCAGTCACAAAAGGAGAGGCCGACGGTTGATTTAGACATTTAATCACCGTGTTGGATGATAAGAAGAGGATCAAAGGGATGGACAAAAAGCCTGGAATAAAAGGAGACATCTACAGCTTAACACAGAGGAATTCCTGGTGGATCAGAGACACTTGAAACGACGCAGGACGCGTTAAGTCAACAGAAACATGTCACTTTTATTCAGGGTGAGGATTACTGCAGCAGTAATAATACTGCTGCCTCCCGAATCATGTTAATCCAGCAGATATGAGCAGTTTCATCAGAAAATCAAAAGGTTGTGATTTGCCCTCATGTTCACATTCATCCTCCAACTTTCCCTCCAGACCACGTGACTCTAGTCCTCGTTAAAAAAAAAAAAAAAAACACTGCTACCCTTCAGATCCATCCAAAGCTCCAGGAGAATTGGTGGATGTTTCCACTGTGCACCAGAACAGAGCCAACCGGGAGCGCAGCTTGTGTGCGCCACTGGAGCGGAGATCGCCTCGCTTTGGAGTTTGACCTTCATCTTGCAGGATTTCTTTAGTCTTTGAACTGGTGGTCTGGGATGGCTCTGGAGCACAGGAGAGCCCTTCGCGCCTCCGTTTTACTGGCGTGTGTGATAATCTGCAGCAACGTGCCATCCGTCGGTGGATCTCTCTACAACAACCGCTACGCAGGGTGAGTGGCTCGTTCACTGCGATCAAAAGGAAATGTGGAGAAGTGTGGTGCAGTTGATTTTTTAGTTTTTGCAGTTTTTTTACGTATGTGCGTGCTCACACATCACTTTGGCACAAACTGCCTGCTAAAACATTCTAAACTTTCCCTAGACAGCAGATCTTGTGTGACTGCAGGTGTAGTTGACTCCCAGGAGTAATCAGATTACTTTTGAGGTGTTATAATCTGAAAGGGGTGATGTTATTGTTTCTCTCTAGACACATTACATTCTAAAATAGCACAAAAATGCAAATAAAATATATCAATTTGTGCTAAACAATGTATGGCGTGCTTCAAAAACGTCTTCTGATCAACTTCAAAGGAAAGAGTGCATCACTGCTTTGTGTTCAATGCACATCAGTGCAAACAGATATGTTCTTTACAAATGCTCAAAATCTGAAAAGCGAATCTAAATAATTAGAAGCACCTTGAAACGTCTGACAATTACCCTCAATTAAAGTGTCAAACAACACTGACAGACAAGAGCTTCTTAGATTGAAGGCCAGATTGTCATTAAAGTCAATTGCTTCCATCCCAGAGACTTTTCTGCTGTGAGAATCAACAGGCTGACAAGTTTGAGTCGGTTTTATCTCAGAAATCCCTGTGGCTGGAGGTTGTACAGCTAAAATCTTTGCCAGGCTGAAGCGTGAAGGAAAACACTGTTATCTTATCACAGAATGTTGGAGAAATAGTTGGAATTGGTCTGTAGACCAGCGGTACAAAACTAACAGGAGAACATAGAAATGTGTGTATTTGAAAAAAACTCCTGTCTTTCGTGTGACTTCTGCTTTTATAGAAAAGGGTATTTATTTTCTCACAGTGCACTTTGGTCACCCAAACAAGCTGTCTGTAGGACACCTGGACCCTTTTTAGGTCCTAAAACCTCCCAATAACCTCCTGCCACTTGGGTTTAATGGATCCCAGCTCCAGCATTTAAATAAAGAGTGGACATTTACGCGAATCACCCAGTAATAACAGTAAACTGTAGTTTTATCAGAAGGGAAGGGATTACTGCATTTTGATTACAACTACATTCTTAAAGGCGAAAAAAAATGTTTCCAGCACAAAAAAGTGTTTTCCGGGTTTAACCAGCCAAGCTGCTCTACCTAAAATCTTTACTTCTGCTTCCTTGTGAGGAGGTATGTTATGTTTTTTTCATAATAATAAACAATAATAGCTCTTATATTGAAAATAAACATATACTTTCCTGGCTCAAAGTGATAGTTGAGAGCTTAAGGGATGTGTTTCTGTGGAAAGGTTATGAATAATGCTATATTTTCTGTTAAAAATAGCTTGTTAAGCACCCTGAGTTTAAAGAAACAGACGTTAGTTCTCATTGGATTGATAAGCTAATGGCTAGGTAATACCAAAATTGATTACTGTCACTATAAAGGAATCATAAACTTGAATGCCTTGTAAGTCGGTTTCTTTGGGAAAAGCTCTGGCGCTCCTGTTTCAGGAAGTAGAAGTTAGTTGGCAATGTGTGAGGGCAGAAAAGGCAGGAGTAAGAGTCGTACTTGTTTATGCTAATCAAATGCAAACATTTTGCCTCTGATTGGCTAACAGTAACACAACATTTCCGCTGCCTCCGCATCTTTCTTGGGAAAAAAATGTCACAGTGATGTTTAATCCCCACAAATAACACAAGCCGTAACGTGTTCCGCCATGTTGTTGCATTGCTATTGCTAATGGTTAGCTTCTGCCAGCCGAGACGCACTTTGCTCTTGTCTGGTCGCTAAATCAACACAGCCTTCCCCACTCACTACTTAAGGTGGGTAAGTCCATGAATGCTAAATTTAGTGTGACATTTACCTGTATGGCTTTTTCCGACCAACATCTATTTTCTTTCTGCAACTAATGCAATCGAAATGGGTTATTTCCACATTGAGCAGGCATATGCAATTCAGAGTGAGCATTTTGATTTAAAAAAGTATTTAATATTAAAAGTGTCACAGCAGTTTATGCAAATACTCTTTTATACCTTTACATAGCCGTAAATATTTTGTTGTTTACTTAGAATTGAGCAGCTAAACTATAAACAAGACCACATCCAGTTGCAATATGAAAATGTATCTGCCACATAATTGCGCTAAATAAAGAATACAATTGTTTATGTAAGCTGCTATGAAATAGGCAAGGATATGTGTAATCGGGCATAAATCCATCTTGTAAATTGACGTACAGTGCCCAGCTGTTAGCTCATCAATCCCATCAGAACTAATGAACATTTTTCCACATGAAGGTTGTAAATGAAGTTATCTACTGCTGTAAAACAGTAAGTGTTCATTGCCTTTACACAGAAACCTATCAAAAGGTCTAAACCGCCTCTTTGACCAAAGAAAAACTAAACATTTATCGGAAACGTCTCAGATCATGGCTGAAATCTCTTTTAGCCAAAACATTTTGGTGAGCTAAAACCTTCTATGAAGCAGCTATGCATGGTTTTATGTAAACAAACACTTTCTGGAATGTCTGAATAAAGTTTTCTTGTTCTCATTTGAAACATGTGCTCCCAATATTGGAGGGAAAATCACATTTAGTTAAAATTTTTATTTACAAAACTATTAAAATTATGATTTATTTTTAAATAAGAAAAAGTTTGAGTTTATCATAAATGTGTGATGCACAAATCGGTTTATGTTGACAGATTTCCTGCACATAAACGCTTGAAAGCAGCAGCTGCATCTGGTGCTACTGCAGAGCTGCATATCTATCCATCCATTTTCTTTACCTGCTTATCCACGCAGGGTCGCAGGGGGCTGGTGCCTTTCACAGGCGGTCACCGGGGAAACAGGCGGGGTACACCCTGGGCAGGTAGCCAGTCATTCGCAGGGCAACACAGGACAAACACACACTCACACCTAAGGACAATTTATTTTTGGACTGTGGGAGGAAGCTGGAGAACCAGGAGAGAACCCATGCGTGCACCGGGAAAACATGCAAACTCCTTGCAGAGCAACCCCAGACCAGGATGTGAGCTCATGACCTCCTTGCTGCATGGCAACAGCTCTTACCACTGCACCACTGTGCAGCTCAGCACTGTATATTTAATCCCATAATAACATCTTAGCCAGATTGTTTAAATGGAAGTGGGCTCTATCATCTATAGGATGCTGAAACAGGAACCATTCATTTTAACATCTAACACCTGCTGGTTTAAGTGTCACCTTCAGTTACACACAAAAGAGAGATTCATTGTTTAACTTAATGGTTTAGGTGTTTTGAAATGATGCAGAAACTGGATCAAAGTGGATTGAAATGGTGTTAAATGAAATTCCTTTTTTATTGTCCTCGTAGCGATCAAGTCTTCAGGATTACTCCGAGGAATGTCGAGGAGGTACAAGTCCTCAAGGAAATCCTGGGACACATGAAGGTCGGCATTTACGCTATTTGAACAAATCTTTGTTTTAGAAGTAGACAAACCAACCCAGGGTGGTTGGGATGTTGAAAGACAAAGCAGAGACAACAAGCATCTGTCACATTTTCATTGGAGGCCCATTAATCATTTCAATAAGAAAACCACACGGGAAAATGGGGGTGGCTCTTCTTTTCATTTTTTTAAGTGTTTGATGAACATGTGTTTCAAAGATATTGAAGTCAGACAGGAATCCCTAGAGGAGACAAAAGAATCCCCATTTTTCTTCCAAATTCATTTGGAAGTAATTATCCACCAGCAGGAGCAACAGCCTTCTTCTGCAGCTTCTCCACCGTTAGCATAAAGCAGTGTTTCCCAGCCCTGGTCCTCAAGGCACACTGTCCTACATGTTTACCATGTCTGTTTCAGCACACCGTATTTACAGTTCAGGAGGACATCAAGTGTTGCAGATACCTGTTAATCACTTGTTTATTTAAGTCAGGTGTGTGGCAGCAGGGAAACACTGGTGTTTAAAAGGGCAACATGGAAACATGCAGGACAGCGTGCCCTGAGGACCAGGGTTAGGAAACACTGGCATAAAGGACACACAGCTGCTTGTTTAGGCTATTTAAATGACTGGAACTGATTCTAATGCACAAAATATTATTGAAGCACCAAAAAGCTGCAAAATATGAACAGATTTTTTTATTTAATACGAAAAAAAAATGTTTTCTATTTCTTGTGTAACTGCTTCAGTTTTTTTAATTCTTAGATTTTCATGGTTTGTTTTCAAATCTGCTTTTCATTTTCTTGATTTTAGTATTTTATTTTGAAACAAAACTTGTGTTCGTGGATGAAGTTTTGACTTTAGAAGGGGGGGGGTGCACAACTGGCATGAGGACCAGTGGGGGGAGGTCTTTACAGTAAGTATACAAAAATATGTATAAAAAACAGCAATGTCAGCAACTGTCAAGTACACAGGTGGGAGGAACGGCCAATCACACGCTAGCAAGAATCAGCAGAGTCAATACAGGTCCTTCTAAAAAATTAGCATATTGTGATGAAGTTCATTATATTCTGTAATGTGCTGACAAACATTAGACTTTCATATATATTAGATTCATTACACACAACTGAAGTAATTCAAGCCTTTTATTGTTTCTAATATTGATGATTTTGGCATACAGCTCATGAAAACCAAAAAATCCTATCTCAAAAGATTAGCATATCATGAAAAGGTTCTCTAAACGAGCTATTAACCTAATAATCTGAATCAACTAATTAACTCTAAACACAGGGTGTCCGCGGGGTTTTAAAAAGTATTAAAAAGTGATAAATAAAAATAGTCAAATTTAAGGCCATTAAAAGTGTTAAATTTGGTCTCAGAGGTATTATTTTTTCCAAATTAGGTATTATTTTTTCAGACTATCAGATGTCGTATTCTGAACATCGACATAGAAATATATTCCGAATGAAATGTTTTGAACGATTATAAAAATAAAACAAGCCGATTATTTGCTCCTCCCACTTGCGCTGCCCTGAGTTGCAAATGAAGCGCTCCTCTGCAGTGTTGCCAACTTGGCGACTTTGATGCTATTTCTAACAGCTTCTCAGACCCCCTTCTTGACTTTTTAAATCTAAAAGTACCTAGCGAACACCTCAGAAACATCTCTGGTAACCCTTAGCTACTTTCTGGATAACTGTCGTCGACATTTCCTGCAGGTTAGCTAAACACTCCGCCTGCACTCCGGACCGTTCTTCAGGACATTAGGAAAGGGAATGATGTAGTGATGTGTCAGTCGCTACAGAAACAGCTCTCAGAGCCGGCTCCCTGTTGGAGCAACCAGAGTGAGTGACACACACCGCACCTGCGGACTCCTGAGCCGATAAAAACGGCTAAATGTGCGCGTGCGGCGTGCTAAACACACGTGCAGCTTGCCCCTGATTGCTGTGAGACCGGGTTGGGGGTGGGGGGTGCAGCTGTGGTTGGGACATTTATTACATTAACTGATGGACCTGTAAATAAATAGTTCATAAATAAGGTAGAAATAACTTCCTCACGCTGATAACTAATAACTAACCTCTCTGAGGACACTGTGCTCCTACAGCACCTTGACACGACTAAATAAATGCTATGCAACATTTAGTGAACAGCAATTTGCATGTATTTGTTATAAATGCCACTGTATAATTCTTGCTGTCAGTATTTGCAAGATATTGGTATTTGGGTCTGTACTGTTAGACTTAAATGAGTTAAACCAAGGTCTATAGCCCTTGGGTCATAAACTATGAGCTATAAGTATATTGGTCTTTTTATACTGGGAATCAGGAGTTATTTTAGTGATCATCTTGTTTCTTGTTTATTTTTGCCCTGATTGTGCCCTGAGCAATTTTATGACTGAATAAAAATAAAAAAATAAAAATCTACATAAATTGAAAAATCGTCTTAAATAATCGAGATCTCAATTTCAGTCACAATAATTGTGATTATTGTTTTTGCCATAATCGAGCAGCCCTACTTTAGCATATCCGGTCACATAATGATGACGTCATATTCAGTGGTCGTTCTGCATCATTTCAGGCCTCGTGGTCAACTGTCTGAACCGCTGAACAGAAGTGCCTGGCTTATTTTCTAAGTAAAATAAATATGTGCAATACGTTGTCAACATCAGTGAGTCTCTAAGTCTATTCTTTTTGTATGTTATATATGTTAAAATACGTGTAAATAGGTCGCTGATTAACACTTGCAATTTAGTGTTGTGATGGTTTTAAAAAAATTCTGAAGGTAGTAAAAAAAGTATTAAAAAGTAGTAAATTTTACTTAAGGATTGCTGTATATACCCTGAAACACCTGCAAAAGATTCCTGAGGCTTTCAAAAACTCCCAGCCTGGTTCATTACTCAAAACCGCAATCATGGGTAAGACTGCCAACCTGGCTGCTGTCCAGAAAGCCATCATTGACACCCTCAAGCAAGAGGGTAAGACACAGAAAGAAATTTCTGAATGAATAGGCTGTTCCCAGAATGCTGTATCAAGGCACCTCCGTGGGAAGTCTGTGGGAAGGAAAAAGTGTGGCAGAAAACGCTGCACAACGAGAAGAGGTGACCGGACCCTGAGGAAGATTGTGGAGAAGGACCGATTCCAGACCTTGGGGGATCTGAAGCAGTGGACTGAGTCTGGAGTAGAAACATCCAGAGCCACCGTGTACAGGCGTGTGCAGGAAATGGGCTACAGGTGCCGCATTCCCCAGGTCAAGCCACTTTTGAACCAGAAACAGCAGCAGAAGCGCCTGACCTGGGCTACAGAGAAGCAGCACTGGACTGTTGCTCAGTGGTCCAAAGTACTTTTTTCAGATGAAAGCAAATTTTGCATGTCATTCGGAAATCAAAGTGCCAGAGTCTGGAGGAAGACTGGGCAGAGCGAAATGCCAAAATGCCTGAAGTCCAGTGTCAAGTACCCACAGTCAGTGATGGTCTGGGGTGCCATGTCAGCTGCTGGTGTTGGTCCAGTGTGTTTTATCAAGGGCTGGGTCAATGCAGCTAGCTATCAGGAGATTTTGGAGCACTTCATGCTTCCATCTGCTGAAAAGCTTTATGGAGATGAAGATTTCATTTTTCAGCACGACCTGGCACCTGCTCACAGTGCCAAAACCACTGGTAAATGGTTTACAGACCATGATAGTACTGTGCTCAATTGGCCTGCCAACTCTCCTGACCTGAACCCTGGAGAATCTGTGGGATATTGTGAAGAGAAAGTTGAGAGACGCAAGACCCAACACTCTGGATGAGCTTAAGGCTGCTATCGAAGCATCCTGGGCCTCCATAACACCTCAGCAGTGCCACAGGCTGATTGCCTCCATGTCACGCCGCATTGAAGCAGTCATTTCTGCAAAAGGATTCCCGAACAAGTATTGAGTACATAACTGAACATAATTATTTGAAGGTTGACCTTTTTTGTATTAAAAACACTTTTCTTTTATTGGTCGGATGAAATACGCTAATCTTTTGAGATAGGAATTTTGGGTTTTCATGAGCTGTATGCCAAAATCATCAATATTAGAAACAATAAAAGGCTTGAACTCCTTCAGTTGTGTGTAATGAATCTAATATATATGAAAGTCTAATGTTTATCAGCACATTAGAGAAAAATAATGAACTTTATCACAATATGCAATTTTTTTTTAGAAGAACCTGTAGAAGAGCTTATGGACGCTTCTGATGGGAAACAGGCTTCAACACAAGTGGTTGCTTTCAATTCAATTCAAAAATACTTTATTAATCCCAGAGGGAAATTGATTGCTGTAGTAGCTCAGAATAATAATAATAATCAAGTCATCAAAGAGTTGTTGTATATTACAATGGCTGTTGGCAGGAAGGATCTCCAGTAGCGGTCAGTGTTGCAGCAAAACTGAAGAAGCCTCTGACTGAAGACACTCTTCCGTTGTCGGACAGTCTTGTGAAGAGAATGCTCAGGGTTGTCCATAATTTTCTTGATTCTCTGGAGAATCCTTCTTTGCATTATCTCCTCCAGTGGTTCCACAGTTGTCCCCAGAACAGAACCAGCCTTTGTTATTAGGCTGTTGAGCCTTTTCAGGTCCCTGCTTCTGATGCAACTACCCCTACTACTACGATGGCTGAAGAGATTACACTCTCAACAACAGACTTGTAGAAGATCTGCAGCATCTTGCTACAGACATTGAAGGACCTAAGCGTCCTCAAGAAGTGCAGTCTGCTGTGTCCCTTCTTGTAAACGGCTTCGCTGTTCTTTCTCCAGTCTGTTGTCCAGGTGAACTCCAAGGTATTTGTATTCCTCAACCACCTCCACTTCTTCTCCCATGATGGAAACAGTGTTTGACTCCACCCTGTTTCTTCTGAAGTCTAAAATCATCTCCTTTGTTTTGTTCACGTTCAAGGTCAGATGATTGTTTCCACACCATGCCACAAAGCGCACCACCAGCTCTCTGTACTCAGCTTCCTGTCCATCTCTGATACACCCGACAACTGCAGAGTCATCTGAGT